AAATAAAAAATACATTTATTAAATAATTTAAAAAAAAAGGTAAGAATATAAGAGAAAGCTTTCTGAAGAATTAAGGGTGCACACCTCTGTGTGAACACACTGTTGTAAATTTAATTTCTAAAATAAATAAATGAAATTATTTATATATATATATATATATATATAATATTTATTTATTTTTATTTATACATATATATCTAGACTAAGGACTTTTGACGATATGTTTACAAATAACTGTATTTATCACGTTCTATCAAAACCCTATAGGTGGTGTTTGTGTTTTGTAAATCAATCACCAAATCTTAATAGAACGCTTAAATAAATATAGATGCTTTCATAAGATTGATTTTAAGTAACAGCGCTATAATTTTAAGAATAGTCCACACTTCTAGTTAGACGTAATAGAATGTTCTAAATCTCCTTTAAATACATTCAACTGCCGATAGCTTTCTAGAACATTTAGTAACAGATTTTCAATGCATACGTTCTACTCTCTACAGATATAAACTTGAACTTTAGGAATTCATACATTTTCTCTCTCTGTAGATATATAGACAATCCCCCTCCCCCCCCACACACAGTATAAAAATCGATAGATATATTAAAATATTCTGTTTTTAAGAGATTATGCCAATTTAATTAGTTTTTATCATTGACAGGTTCACTAACTACAGTATATGTGTACAATATACATATTTTGCATATTAAAGTGCTTTTAGCAATGGTAATTGTTTTGTCAATAGAATATTATTATTAAAATATATGATTATGAAGAAAAAGTATTGCAAGATCCAGGGCAAAGTTTTTGTAAGACGAAGAATGAAACATTTTATCCCTATCATAAAAGGAGACAATTGAAACAATAAAGATCAATTGTTCTGCAGCATTTATTAAACAAAGTGGTGCATATGCTGAGCCTGCCTATCCCTAAAACGTGGAGAATTTGCTGATCTGCTCCTTAATATGTTAAATAGAAGGAATATTATTAAACGTCACTAGGAGCTGGCCAGGCACATGTTCTCAGATAGGCACTGTGTGTGGAGTCATTAAGACTGATATTGGTACAGATCAATAAAGCAGGGACTCGCATCACACCACACAGCATGCTGAGACCCAGCACCTAGGAAGATACACATCGCTTAGCAACTCCAGCAACACACTGCACTGGTAATATACACCAGCAATACTGGGACAGTAACAATGTAACACGTAGCAGCCTTCACTCATTTTAATATAAACCATGCACATCCCATCTTGCATACTTAATGATGCTGTGGATAAATAGGGAGATATTGATGGAGAGAGATAGATTAAACACACACACACACACACACGTACACAGACAGAGTGACATACAGACAAGCAGATTAAGATTATTCAGAAAAAAAAAGAGCTCACAGAGATGAGGATAAGAAAGGCATAGAATATGAAAATATAACTAATAAAGAATCATTCTCCAATTTGCAATACGGGACAATAGTTAAATCGTGAATACACCAGGTCTGATGCCATTTATTACAAGTAATGCAAAGTCGTTTTGGAGATAATTGGAACAAACTTTTATGAAATATTCTTCAGAAAGTGAAGTTATATGTGTTAAAAGGTTACTAAGAAGAAGTAATTAAAATCTCCTGCCTTGAGTTGTTACTTCTGTTTCAGATTGAAGTTAGGGAGCTGAGAGAGTTATGAGAATTTATTGCTAATTTTGTCACGTGTTTAAGGCTCTTAATGGCAATATTTATTCTTTAACTATAGGGGCCGTCTCTCTGTGATATCCCCCATTTATAACTAGTATCATGACCGGTTAGGACAGAAATAAAACATGTCTATCGACTTCCTCCTGCCAAACAGAATTCTGAAGGCTCAGAACGTGTATATAGCCAGCAACACAGTAATTAAATGACCATACTGTCACAGCATGACATGGCCAAAACAGAATTATCATATATGACATAAATTAATCAGAGCAAAAAAAAAAAAACCCCCATAAATACATACAATAGGTGGAACACACGTCTGATGATTCTATAAAGAAAAACAAAAATAACATAGTGCAATGTTGCCAGTACAAATAACGTAGAGATATTGTGAATATCAAGTCATCACAAGCATGGAGACAAATTATAACATATGGCTCTCATGGTTAGTACATATGGACTCTTAATGGGATGTCCTCATCCTTCTTCCAGCTGGTCCTTGTGTAGCCTTCAAAGATTCTGGAGTAAAGATGAGATGAAAATCTTCTCTCCCATTTAAAAAAAGCTTTATTAAATGAAATAAAATTAAAAAAAGTGCACTGTGTGCAATAACATAAAATATTTGATGGTTAAAAGAAAAAAGTTCAAATAAGTCCCAATTAGTCCATCAGGCAGTGCCAATATTGTGCCAATATTGCATAGAAACATAACTGATCACAGCACAGAAATATGATATATATTGATCATAGCATAGCAATATAACATAGTATGACATGATCACAGCATAGAAATATAATATAAACTGATCACAGCATAGTATGAACGGATCACAGCATAAAAATATAATATAAACTGATCACAGCATAGAAATATAACATAGTATGAACGGATCACAGCATAGAAGCTTCGTGTCCCATCAAACACATCTACAAAGTGACCATATCACAGCAGAAAGGGGTTATATTATGACCTGTTCACAACAGAAAAGGGATCTATTATGACCAGATCACAGCAGGGGATGACATGGACTTGGTGATCTCACACAGTATAAAGTGGATCTTTTACACTGCCATAAGTGAGAAATTAAGATATCAGATCACATGTCAGGAAAGATGTCTGAAAACCGCACAGGAATGAGCTGATCAGTTAAACTCCCATCACTTTCAGCCAGGCCACCTGCGGAGCAATACTTGGAAGTTACAGTGCCCAGTTTAATGACACTAAGTATCTAACAGCAGTGCAGGGATCCTACCTTTTCACCACTGCACAAGGCACTGGGACAGAGATGTGAACACAACAGGAGGCATATACAGTATAGTCACATACAGATTATTATCATTATCATTCATATAGCGCCAACTTAGTCCGCAGCGCTTTACAATATTATGAAAGGGGGAAATTAAACAATACCTTAAACAAAATATTACAGTAACAATATGTTAATGAGGACCCAACTCAAAAGAGCTTACAATCTAAAGGACACCAATTATACACAGCACAACCCACCACATGAATCAGAAATCAACCATACGAACAAATAAAGATACAAAAAATATATATAGACACAAAATCAATAATTCGTGTGTATTTATATCTAAAAGGTTTATTTTTATATTTATAAAACATTATACACAGACACACACACATTACAAACACATCTATATCTATGTATCTATCAATATATCAAACACACACATCCAAATCTAAATATTAATACATGGGTGCTTGTCAAATTGAGTGATATACTATTTTATTTTATTTTTATTAGTAATGACCCCTGGTTTTTAGCTTGTAATTAAATTGTGCTCTCCCTGGGAGGATGAAGGTTTGGGGACTTTCACAAGGATACATTGTGTATGGGCTGATATGATGTGTTCCTTGCAAACACAAGCTAATAGTTCGTTCTGATTTAGTGGGGGAACAATTTCCTCGCCCTCTGATGGGTAAATAGTCTAATCTCATTCACTTCACCCCCCGTGGATAGACAAAGATAACCGTGACATGGCCAGGGTTCTGCAAATCACAGCCTCCCCAAGTGCTAATAGATGCAAAACAAACTCCAATTTTAAGGACATGAACTTAGCTTTACCACCAATATTAAGAATTTCATCTTATCCTTTATTTCATGTAAAAATCATCTCATGCCAGGACAAAGTCTTCACAATAAACAAGAACACACACACTAACAAGTGGACAGACATGACATTTGCAAACAATCCAAACACCTTTTTTTCCCACACAGACAAAGCAGCCTAATGTGTCCAGTTTTCCTTCAGGGTAGATCTCTTTAAAAAAGTAACTTTGGTTTAAAACAAAAGGTTTTAATGCAGAGAAGTAAATGACATTAACATCATTTACTGTATACATTAATTAGATGCCCTTTGCATGGAAACAAAGGCTTAAGCAAACAAAAAGTTAAGATTCAAGAAAAAAAATAAATGAAAAAAAAAAAAATGTCAAAATGATTTTATCAATATGTATGCTATGATACTGGGCTATGTTTATTTCTGTATATATATAAAAAAAAACTTATGTTACAATGGTAACATTTTTGAACAATCTATATTTCTTCTGACAATTCCTGGTAATTAATTTATTTAAAAAAACAAAAACTTGCGTTGCAGTTTTGCAAAAATAAATAAAATAAAAAAAAATATATATATATTTTCTTTTTTTTTTTAATCGGACTTTTTTCACCACATGTTAAAATTATATTTTTGGAAAAAATATATTTCCCATAGTTTAATTCATGAAAGGTGGACTAATGGGGGCGAAATATTTTATTAATATTTTTTTATATATATAAATTTATTTCTCCCTTGTATCCAAAAGGATTAAAGCCCTATTCATTATTTTTCCCCCTGCGTATAAAGAGTTAAAAAAGAGAGCCCTTAACCCTGAGGAAATTGCTCTCCCAATTACATCACAACCCTGCATACAGAAAAAGGACTATGGATTTTAACACAATGGTATTAATCAGATTAATGGGCAGCAATTAGCTCCCAGGGATGAGTTGGGGATAAATCTGGAGAGTTTTGTAAAGGGTTGTGCTAATGGAAAGGATTAGTTCGATTTCATTAAAATTGAATATATAGATCATTCTCCCCTCACACCAGTGTGCTCCCCCCACCCCCCCGATCACAGCCTGGGTCTGCACTGTAGCAGGGTGACGTGGTGCCTGTATATAAAGGGGCAGAGGCTTAGATGGGATAGGGCTTCAGTCTGAACGAACTTTAGCAGGGAGTAGAGTGAAACTATTTCTACAGATCCTCTCCTGATCACAGCTTCCTCCTTAACTCCCCCCCCAAAACAAGAGGATTTCTTCCCTACCTGAAGAGCACCCCCCCACCACCCCAAAAAAGAGCACCCCCTTTTCTGTACCCCCATCTCTGTGGAATGCCTTCTGGCATGTTTAGCATTGATAATATTTTGGCTGCCAGACCTCGCTGCAAGGAGTCAGTGCTGCTCCCCCAGAATGGTCCTGTGGTGTTCCCCACTTTGGGAGACTCTATCTATGGGACTGCAGACTACAGCGGATTTTACAACAGGGCAGTAGCCCCAACGTCTACCCTGCAGGGGGTAAATGGATCTAGACTGGGCTTTAATAACTATTATTATGGACAATTGCACGTGCAAGCCCCAGTGGGGCCCTCTTGCTGTGGGGCCCTTCAGCCTCTTGGGACTCAACAGTGTTCATGTGTTTCAGCAGCCACAGGTAAGGACCCCCAAATTATTTACCCTAAGACACCTGTTTATAGGTACATACCTATCTACTTATACACACACATACATATATACATACATAATACACACACACACACACACACACACAGAGATATGTATACACATACACAATCTTAAACACTTTATTTCGGTTTTTTTACGTATAGCCCTGCATTACAAATCAAATTGTATACATCGTTACATACTTATAGCAATGCATCCTTTCAGGGTAGATACTTTAGATTTTATATTATTAGATACAGACATTTTTTGGTTAGAGTAGCAAAGTTCCTCAACAAATTATATTTATTATTGACCCTTTGATTACGATCTAAAAGTTGCCAAACAATTTAGTTCTATGCTTATTAACTAAGCTCTAAAACATTACAGAAAGATCACAGCTCCTGATAGTCAGGAAATGATTGATCAGAATATTCTTATTTATGGTAATTCCCCACAATTGAATAATAGCATATGATTATATTTTGAGATTCTCTCTCGATTGGCACAGCTCTTACCCCGGAAGAATGCTGCACAGATGATCATAGACTTTTTTAATTGAATGTTGCATCACTTGGATACATAACTATTTTGTTTATTTCTAATAGCATGATTTAGACCATCACAAAGAGTACACTAGTCCCATCATGATCAATACTAAAGTATTGGCAATTTCTAACTTTAACTAAACGTTCCGTTTGTCACAAGTTCAGGTACCAATGGCAAATTGCACAGTGTCCATGCTTTATTAAAAGTTTCATATGCCCAACATTTCATCACTGAACGATATAATGTCAATGTAGTGAAACTCGGCTCCGGAAAGGTGGGCAAGGCACAGCTGGTGCTGAACGGGTTAATGGGTCCCGTACAGATTTAACAGGGATTATTATAGTTTATATAAGCATTACAGATACAGGTTTGGGGAGAAGTGCTTAAGGTGTTAAACAGAGGGACATGAAGACATTATGATGATAACCCTAATATGCTACATTGTATCTTACAGCATGATGCATGGGGTAAGATACAGATAGTTAGCTAGCTGGATAGATAATACAGGATCAGGATATTGCTACATATTGTTACAGAGGTTGCCATCCACGACCAGCATTGTATCAGGGTGCTACATATTGTCACACAGTAGGACAGACAGTGCCAGTATAGCATCAAGGTCACCCTTGGGTGCTAGGACACGAAATTGTGCACAGGGAGTAATTGTGGTTGCTGTCACCCTTGTCTCACAGCCTATGATGGCACAAGCTCGATGCTGATGCCCCCCGTTCCCCATCAGATGCTCCCCTATATGAATGTGGGTACCCTCTCCAGGACAGAGCTTCAACTCCTTAACCAGCTTCACTGCAGGAGAAAGAGAAGGCACAGGACCATCTTCACAGACGAACAGCTAGAAGCCCTGGAAAACCTCTTTCAGGAGACCAAATATCCAGATGTGGGCACCAGAGAACAGCTGGCCAGGAGAGTCCATCTCAGAGAAGAAAAAGTGGAGGTAAGAGCCATCTCCTTCTCCTTAGAACCTTGCATGATTCCCTTGTACAATTGCCCTGCTTAAACTGTATCACCAGACAGGATACCCTCCAGCATCACATTATACCACGAGTCCAAGCATTAGCAGATAGAATCTCAAAAAATGCCTAAATTCGAAGTGATACAAGTATTCCATATTTCAATACAGTAATTACGAATTCATATCTGAAACATACAGTGATGGGATATTAATTGAAGAGTGCAATCTAACTTTAAAGAGAGCTTTCAGTTTGCACTAATCGTACTTCACAACCTGAATCTTTTTATTAAGGTACTTTACAGCCAGTCTTGTATTCATTCGGTCTGTGAAGGTATCAATGGATCAAACTTCAATTCAAAATAGAATATATGGATTGTAACTCATTTTTGACATATTTTAACATAATTTTAGTCCCCATGCAAACAAGTAAGAAGTGCTACACCTGGAGACTAGTAGCTAGAATAATAACAATATCAGCTCATTTTGAACCCTCTCTCCAGAAACAATGTTCTAAAGGACCCATCAGTAGTTAAAAGAACATTGCTTACTAGTCACAGCTGCAGCCCAAGAGAATTGGGAGTCTGAGTGCAGTGCTAATTTCTGTGTTTTTGCTTTTGTATTACACAGACATGTTACAGTGCAGCTGCCCACACCCATATTATGGGTTAATTAGTTTGCAGGGATTCTGTGAACTTCTCTCTCAATAAAAGTGTGCCTTTTAGCTGAATGCAGCAATGTAAATTGCTAGTGTAGAACTCACTTATGAAGTTTGCCATTGCAGTGGTTCTAAACATTCCTTTCAAAGTAAATAGGGATTTGGAATATTGTGCTGGTAACTATTTTAGTTTTGTTAATGCATTTGGATGATGAATACTATAGTCATTGCTGCCGCCCGAGAGTATTTGGGAGTTTGAGTGCAGGGCGAATTTCTGTGTTTTTAATTGCTTAATATCATGCGTCTTGTGGTTGCAGGTGTGGTTCAAGAATCGCAGAGCGAAGTGGAGGAGACAGAAAAGGTCTTCATCAGAAGAGTCAGAAAACACCCAAAAGTGGAACAAATCCTCTAAATCGGCAGCAGAGAAAATAGAGGACCAAGGGAAAAGTGATCTGGACTCAGACAGTTGATTGTTGGACCGGAACTCAAACACAAGAACTTACAATCAGTAACAAACCGGTTGCTCAAGCAATGCCATATATTGGGACCTGTACATAGAGTGTAAATATCAAGTTGATTTCGTGTAAATAAAGTATGTTGCAGACATCTTGCACAGATGTACACTGTACCGAATGTCCTATTTATACCTTAAATTAAAGGGATTACATCAATAAACAGATTGGTGGCACGACCATTTTCTCTGTACCTCTTTAAAAACAAAGGCTTGGAAGGGATTCCGAAAGGTAAGTGGTCACTTTCTATATTAAATGGGGATGCTCATTCTAAGAGTTTAAGGATAGAATGTTCTTAATTTTTGTGCTATCAGGTGACAAGGACTAAATGGGATTAGCCAATTTTTCTGGGTGGGTTGGAGTGGGGGATTAATGGAATCTCTACGATTTGTTCCTGCCATGCAATCATCTTTACCTAGATATATCGATGATAAACGTAGGGTGTTGAACTTAAAAAGTAAAAATAGTAAAAGGGTTTGTTCACCAAGCTCCGAATTGTACGAAACTGAAAGTCGAACTGAAAAACTTGGGCCAAAAAAAGAAAGGACGAAAAAATATATATATACGAGACTAGATAAGTTGCAGAATTTTTCCAGCTCAACTATTCTATCCTAAATCTCGTCACCGAGTTTTCATTTTGCTGCAGTGTTTCGTTCTTACATCCTCTGTGTCTGAATGTAATTCTTGCAAAATTTGAGCATAGCTGGGGTCTGTCCACTAAACTCCGAATTGTAGCGAATTGAATGTTGAATTGCAAATTTTTGGCAAGTAGTGTTCTTTCTTAAACTCTGCTATAGTTGGAGCTTGGCTATTTGAACGTAAATTTTGAAATTCTGATTTCGTTAAACTGCAACGTGTAGTGAATAAACTTAAGCAGACTTTATTAGGGGCATTTGTGTTTACAATTCTTTTAAATGTGCAATGCTCAGGTTAAATATAACATTTTATATTATATTTAGACCATTTTAAGTTGACTATAACAAACCCGTCTTCCAAGAATGGCAAGTAAATTTGATAGAGTAATTCACTGACAGGGTTACTCACTAAATGCGAATGGCAGAATTAAGGCAAAAAAATTACCTATTTGGAGAAACGTTTTGACTCAACTATAGTTACAGCTTGGCTGTTTAAGCTCAGTCTTGCCATTTAGATTTCAATTTGTTATGATTCGGAGTGTACTAAAACCAATAATAGTTTATTTTCTTTACTATCTCGTCAATAACATACCTGACATTTGTGCTTGTTATACCTGGCAAAATATATTAAATGGTTTGCAAAGTTTTAGGAAGTGGTTATGGTGGAGGCCATCTGAGAGAAAAACAAAACTTTTAAAATGAAAAGATTTCCTTACTTGTAATTGGTTTAATTACTAAAAGTTATGTTATGAAATTATATATACACGCAATTTTTAAATCCATGCAATCCTTAGTCATTTTCTTCATGCTATTTTTATTTATTTTATTTCCATATGCCTTGCAGAAAATGTCATCAATTAAAAACTTTAATGTAAACAGAAAGAACTATCGGTTACGTTGAAAACTTGGAAGACAGGCCTTCTATCTGTGACCTCCCGTATCAGCTAATTCATAGGCTGTCTAATAATATTTAGATTCATTTCAATTCAATATTTTTATTTTATTTTCTCTCTGAAATTGGATTACATTTAATGTACATTAACGTATTCTTCAACCGAGGAATAATAATTTTGTTTACAACTTATGTTTAAGATGTTACTCGAAGCTGATCATATATCTTATTTAACATTAATTGACACACAATTCCTTGATTTTCAAATATTAGCTCCAATATTAATTTTTTACCCGTGTGCACTTCTGTGTGCATTGTCATATTTCTGTTCAGTAACGAATGATGATTTCAGCAATTTCTGATAAAAACCCCCCAACATTTCTATGTCACTATCAAAACACTTATGTGGGAATTCACAAAAGCAGGAATTGTGAAGAATTGGACATGTAATTGTGACTGATATATAGCACTTTGAAAAAAGTGTCATATTCCAACATTTTTCTAGTTCAGCTATTTTGGCGTAAAATTAGTAACTCCCAGTTCTCTTCCCAATTCCCGATTTTTAAGAAAATACCCATCTAGTGCACTGCGTTGAAAGTTAGCCTTTAAATTGTGCTTTACGATAATTAAACTGGAATGTTACAGTTCTGATATAGTGCATGCATTTGGGATAATTTTGAATCTAATTGTCAATTACCATCCTAAACTCTACTTCTTTAAGGCTATCAGATTAAAACAGAATGCAAAAATATATTTATAATTATAGATAATATAATTATAATAATAGTAATATGATTCTTTTGGTAAAAGACTGTCCTTTTCTAATTAAAATGATCTAAAACCCCACTTTAATTACAAATCTCCCTGGAAGAAGATTTTTTTCATCTCATTTATCCATAATGTCACCTTGTCTTCTAATATCCTTCATTTCTTAAAACATATAAAATAAATAAATAAAATAAAAATAAACAATTAAGGATAAGCACCAATCTCAATCCTTTTTACCTTTGCCATTAAAACAAGCTCTCCTTGCATGTATTTGAAACTGATGTATAACACAATTATTACTTTAAATTTGCCAACATTCTTGGTAGTTTTCACTCCAAAAAGTTTGGAAAAGTCACTACTCTGTGATTTTGTTTTGCAGACATAACCAGCAGTCACAGAAATAGTAACTCCCTGTAATAAAAATGCAATAACATTTTTGAAGGTTTTTTTTTTTTTTAATTCTCAGTACAATTTAACACTGTGTGGACCAGTAGGATTTATAGTAATTCTCACACAAGGTAACAATTCCATTAATGGACCGTTTAACCATTTCCTACATATTTCGCAGAGATAAAAGTTTTCAAAGTTCTTCTAAATCTCCCACCTGGATTTTTTCCCCCTGGATTCTGCAGGCAAAGGTAATTAATTCAATTCTATTTTGTGACTGATCTATATTAGATGATTATCTGTGATAAATCCCCAAAAAAACAACAACACTCCTCTGTATGTTGTATTGTATATTCACTTCATCAAAGTTTCTAGCTTGATGTGTACAATGTGTAAAAAAGACACAATGAAGCAGTATCAGAAAATTTATATATTTTTTTTTCATATTTCTTTTCAGTGTAAATTTGTGTGTTAGTATGTGAGCTTTAGCCACAAACCAGGATATTTGGCTATTTAGAACATGGATGGGTATTTTTCCATCATGTCAGGGAAATATTGACATTTTAAACAGTGTATGTTTGCATTTTTGAAAACCTTAGTGAACACATTATCACCTGATGGACTGCCTTAATTACAGGAAATATTTATATAGATTTTAAATTATTATTCCTTGTGGAACATTTGTAAAATGTTCCAGGGGACTTTTCACACGGATACAAAAAATAATTAATTAAAATAAAACATGAAAAAGTGTTGAAATAAAAAAATAAATGAAAAAAGGCTAATTTCAGATGTAATTTTTAGACACACATTTTGGGAAGGAGCTTTACTCCATCTCTACCTTGAAACTATTTTTTTGTTTTTTTGTTTTACAGTTTGTGGATAGTTTACCCCTTAAAAAGATTTTACTGAAATGCAAAGTTGTTAAGGTTTATGCCTTGTTCGAATATATTTTTTCCCAATAAGTTCCATTGTTAATAAGTAGGATGATTGAAATCTAATGCTTTAATTTCACTTTTATAACTTGGGAGAAACTAACTTGAAAGAATGTAAGGCACAAGTCAAAGTCTGAGGGAATGAAAATGAATGCTTTTTCTAAAGATAAGTCAGGTATTTATTTCCAAATTCTTTCGTTTAATAAATATATAATAAAATTATAGCAATAATTTTGGCTAAGTAATAATATGTTTGACCTACACAATCCCATCACACTAATATTAGGGTAGATGTTTTTAATCTAGTTCTTATACACCTCCAGCAGCTGAAGATTACAGAATCTCCTAATTTTGTTCAAGTGGAAATATATTTACAGCAATTGGACCATTGGGATATACTAATACTGGTTTGATAACCATCACTTACCGTACACATATGTTCATTATATTTGTGAAATATATACAATAATTGTTTTGTTTAGAACTTTTCTGTGTTGCCTTTGTATTTTGTCCTGATCAAGACTGAATGGGTCTTTTTTTTTTTTTTTTTGGCACCTTAAACTATAAAACCCATTACCCTAATTACTTTAGGATAGCAAGATGTTTTTTAAAATGTCTGTCATTCTGTTACTTATCTACCTCTAAGTGACTCCAAGAACTCCAGGGGTGGTAACAATAACTTTTTTTTGGTATTGTCTGTTATTGTGTATTTATAAAAGTTGATAGAAATTACTTTAACGGTTCTTAAATCACTCTTCATTCACCTACGCAATAATGTCCAAACTGGGACGTTTCCTAATCTTGAACTGTTGGACATGCATGAGAACTGGATTGGTATGTACTACACTTATACTAGTGCAATGGGATTCTGTGGGTCAAACACATCATAGGAACCACTCAGGGCTGCTGTACCTTAATGTCCGTATTATTATTTTCCAGAACCAATCATCATAGTGAGCAGCTCTGTCAGAGCCTCTTGTAATGAGGATGTAATGTACATTTACTATATACAATGTAACTGGTTAGAATTGTAAAATAACTGGGTAGGGGCTCACCAGTAAAGCTAACATGCTAACAAATGACCATGTCTACCCAGCAAGCCTAGGATGTCTACAATTTACCATGAGATTTGTATGTTTGGACACTTGCAGCCTTTACCTGGTAAAATCAGTGCTGCGCTAAATAGTTTGTTAATGCAGGTGTGTGATTAGCATCAATGGTTATCGGTCAAATAATTTGAAGATTTATGCCATAAATTTCATCCTGGGTGAGCTTCTAGAAAAAAACCTATGACATCGGAGTAACAACTCACACTGATATTTTTAGATGAGAATACTACTGGTGGTAGCCCATACATGGTCCATGCTGCGAAATAAACCAGCCATCCCCAAACTGCCACGAAAGTTCACAAGTTATTTAATTTAGCATTGTGAAGTCAATACAAAACAAAGATAAACAGAAATGCGAAGAAGGCATGTTTTAATGACCATCCTTGCTCCTGAACTAGTACAAATAAATCGTTGGTTGTCTTTTTTGTTTTACTGCCTGTTTTTGGAAGTCAATGTTCTTTTGGGGGTGTGGGGGTAAGTTAAGGACTTTTTAGTTTCTGTCTTCTGTCCATGTTCAATTTGCGATCATTTTCATTTTCCATCCAATTCTTTTTCTTTCCTAAAGCAAAACAACCTTACTGCATAGCACGTCATTCGTAATGAATCAAGATAACCCCCCCACGTCGGAAAACAGGTAAGCATTGATCCGCTTTTCTACTGAATATAATGCTATTTTAGCTATTTAATATTCAGGGAGAGGTAAATTAATTAACAAATCCCCCACTTAATTTAAAAGTTTGGTCAGCCACTAGCTCCCAGTTACACAACCTACGTCATGCAGCCGACAGTCAGACTTTTACATTTAGTTTAGAACAGAAGTTGATTAATTTTATCGACTATTATATTTTGGGCAATATTTTTTTTAATCTCCATTAACACCCACATCTCACCAGCGCGCAAAGTGATATTGTCACTGTGACAACAGTGTCCCTGCATTGTTGCGAAAAAAAAAAAAAAGAAAAATGATGTAGAATTATGAAACAAACAATGTATTTAGGACCTAAAGGCTGATGAAGTGTCAACAATTTTGACTTTAAATACCCAATTGCAAAATGGAATGCCTCAATAAATTATTGATATCATCGCTATACAGAGTTACAGATGCTAGGACGTAGGATATTGTGCTGGAGTAAAACGTTCAAAGTTCTGATTGTGAAGATACCAGTGAATATCACTAGTCCTTAAGAGGTTAATATGTAGTAGAGAAGAATCCTTTATTATAAAAGGATACATTCAAAGCTCTCTTTAGGATTAGTAAGAAGACTATGAAGTGGGATGTGTTTCGTTCACAAAACATCTACCAACCAAAAGTAGAAGAGAATCTCTTTTCTTCAAATGTCTAAAATGAATTAAATGAATTTGGAGGTGTGCATTAGTATAAGAAAGGCAGTGACTGCGACAAGGCCGGTTGTAAGGTAGTACATAAAAATAAAAATCATACGTTCTTCTTTTAAAACACAAAGATGTGACTTACACACATTCTTAAAATACCTTCCAGGTATAGAATAAGAGAGAAGACAAAATATTTCTTCCTCTTGATTTAAAACACACAAGTATTAAAAAATATTTATCCAATATCAAATCACCTGTTCAAAAGTTTTAATTTATAAAATATTTGAAAAGTTTTCTGTTTTAGTGTTCAACTAATGGCATGGATATATTTAGCCAGTGTCTAGAAGAGTGTTTAATGTAGACATAAATGCCCTAAACTATATCCATCTTTAGTTCTGCATGCATTCACCCCTCAATCAGTGTCTTTTATTGCAAGTAATATCTTTTTGGTAAAAGTTACAGGAAGATGCCAGGCATCAGCAAACACGCATGAGCCATCCTCAGTTACCCTACAGCCAACACAACAACTAGTTTTGAACATTATATTAGTGCATGAAAATAAGACTCTGTGATGTTATGCATGACTAAGTTTCTTTAATCTACAAACAAATCTACTCCAAAAAAAAACAAAAACATTTCATGTTAAAGCAGAAAAAGTAGCTATTGGTTGTGCTGTAAATTATTTTTTTAAGAAATCCCACAAGTTTCATTGTTTTTAATTTACATGTCCAGCTAGGCATGGAATGTAAACTAACTTAACCCCTGCAGTGCCATGTGCATGCATAAAGCACTGTTGAAGTAATGGCTGGGCACACATGCATTCTTATAGAACTTGTCTGTAGATACCTGCAACTTGCTTGAATGTCCTCAAAGTATCACAGAGTGGAAAATTGCTCACAATGCAGAATTGCAGCAGTGGGAGGTGCGTTGTTTGTTTTTTAAATTTACTACTTGCCACAACTGCTTTGTCCACCAAAGTAAATGTTACAATAACATTTGTTGGCATTGGGGAACAAAGAACTATTACATCCAGAAAAGAGTCAGTTCTGGTTTATTTACTATTTTCATGATTGTAGACTTACCTAACTCCTAGCATAAAAGGGTTAATATCCAATCTCGGGAAACATTACATCAAATTACTAAGTGTAAATAGCCGCCTTTACCTGCAGCTTTGAATTCCTATTTTCCTACCTATGGCACAAAATTATGTTTTTTTTTGTCATCTAGATTATTTTCTCTGAATTAAATTTAAAATAATAAATGTGTTTATGCAGTTTACTCAAGGTAATAAGTTTGACTCATGATCTTTGGCTAGCCTTTAGGTGATATAAACCTGGCACTTGTTTGTCATGTTACAAACTATACTTTCCATTAGGTACAACTAACCTTTTGTTACCAAGGGAGAGACTGAACAAACACATGATAATGTAAAGGACCCACAAAAGTCATCTGTACCAGTGCAATCATTGCCGTTTTATCTTCCAGACAGTCACTAGAGGTGCTTCTGTGGCAGTGACTGAGTAGAACGTAAGGTTGCAACTCATATGAAAACATGGAACTCAAAGAATTTGGATGCAAGCATGGTGCTCTGTGTGTATGTACATCAGTTTCCAATAATCCTCTTTGAAGGACATTAGAGTGGCCATCGGCTCGAAAGATGAATGACTTTGCAATTGGCGGAGTGGCTGGCACCACAGATGGATTCTCGGCGCTGGAGTAAAGGTAAGTAAAAACAGGAATGGGGGAACTAAACGCAATTCTGCAGATAGGGCACTATAGCATTAGAAATACAGGTATGAATTCCTAATGCTAAAGTGCTCCTTTAATTTTACAACTGTTTGGAAGAGATTTTTGGGAAATTTAGATCAACATCAGTGAAAAGACTGGATACCTCTCTCAAATAGAAACTATTAATTATATTCTTGAAATATTATCTAGATTTGTAGTTGATTTAACTTTAACTCAGAATGATTAAACATTTGCATCGCTCCTTCAATTAGCTTGTCATTTTGACTTTGTAATACAAAATTAGAGGTCATTAAAAAAAAAAAAAAGAAGAAGAAATAAGTTCACAGCCATCGTACAAACCTGAAAGTAAAATATCGGTGTTGGAATAACAATAAAGCTCACAGAAACGGCTAAATATAGTGAATTAGTGTTATAATGTTTTCCTATTCTTGCATGAGAGCCCTATTTTTAATGTAATACAAGCACGTGTGTACTTTTGTACTCTGTGTCAATGGAAGCTTTTTAATGCATAAAGCTATCCCCACCAGTGAAAAGGAGACTGGGCAGTTTATACCTCAAACCTGATCTGCAGTCTTTTTATTTTGCCGTCTCCTCTTCATGAGCCACACCTAATAATTTAATTTTTTTTGGTATTATGAAAACACTCCAAAAAACATGTATGCCTGCCCATTCCTTATTAATTCCAATTTTGCACTCAGCACCGTACAAAACTGCATTAATGGAGTCTATAATAAGAAAATGAAGCTTCTATAATGCATGTAACCCCAAAGCATATTCTAAGTCCAATGATAGGTCCAGACTGTCCTCACACTGCAAGGAGCAATAGAATGAATAATATACTGAGAACGTGTGCATGAATAATGAGTAGGTCGTACTGTGATAATACAAAGAAAAGATTCTTTCATAAAGTGGTATCAGTCCAGGTTGTGGTGTGCATGTTTGGAGGACAGAGGAAGGTTGTACGAGATGAATCATTTTAATGTTATTCGATTTACACTCAACTCGTTTTATACATCGCCATATAGCAACAATTTCGTAGCACGTTGCCCATCATAATAATGATACTATACATTATTAGGCGAAAGGTCTAGAACTGTCCGACCTGGGTTGCTTTATTTAATCCTGCTCGGTCACCCCTTGAGATTCCTGTACAATGAGCCTTTAGGCTGGCTAGAGATTGTAGGAAACCTAGTTTGGAAAGATTTATTGTGCAATGGTCAGCCATGACTTGACTTAAATAAAAATCAAATAATGGAGATTATTATTGTATTATTTTGTGTATGCATTGGAACTACACATAAACCATTTCAATAGAATAGTGACAACCTATCTTTATGTTAAAGTATATTTAAACCAAAACAAATTATTCCAAATATACTTAAAAAAGCATTAAAGAAATCTTAAACCAGACATTTTTCTCAAGATATATGTCCTTGATGAAAAATTATCAAAAAGTGATATATCACAGAGAAAGCAGATTTCTAGGACATAATTTATACATAGCCATCTCTTTTCTTGTGCACTTTTCTGGCCTTATTGGATTTAATTATTTATTGTGCTTCGAAATGCTGTTATATATGATCATTTTGTCAGACATATTGGGTAAATCTATATTTCTACATTATTGATTCTCTACTAAAACATTAGGGGAATAAGAAAAAAACAACCCATGCCCCCCCTAAATATACATTAACCATGCTCCAAATAATTTATAGCCAATAATAATGCTGCTAAGATAGATTTATTTTTCAGATGTGAAGGGGTTATGTGTTTTAGTATATCATAATAAAATGGTTTCTCTTTTGTAGTTAATTTCAAACTGTTGTGTGGTGCTTTATTGAGCTCAAATGATAAATTAAGTGGTTTATACACAAACAGGCCCGTGAGTTTATACGCTTAGTGCTGTATTTTATTTTAATTTTGTATATAGGAGGTTTTTTTTATTTTCTTTTGAGGTTTTCAGACATATGAATAGTTTGTTTTGGCTGCCTTAAAATATACTTAATATGTTTCAACATGTTTTTTTTCTTTACTGTGATGTATGGGTATTACGTAATTTTTGTAAATTACTAAAATAACAGTAAAATAGTATGCTGTCTTATTACATAAATATTTTGATTTAACTTATAAAGTTACCCTAAAAAGCACACATTTTTGCACATTTCAGCAAAACAATTGTATAATTTTAATCTTTCTTTAATATATATTTATTTTATTTGGTTTTATTGTCAGTTTGAGATAGCCAAAACATTTGAAAACATTACAATTTAAAAAAAAAAATGAATAGTTGCACAAATATTTGTCCCCCACCCCCTAAATTTGTTGACAAAAATGATAATCAATTTTTGAAAAAGTTTTTTGTCCTGACTCTTTTTTTTTTGGATTATGTTGCTAAAGTGAATTTTATTTGAATTAATTAAATCGGGGCTGGATTTCTGCTTATGCTGTAGTTAATGTCATTGTCTTATTCCAGTTCTGTAGCTTCCAGCTTCAAAATTTTTGATTACTATCAGTAAAATCAGTGTAAAGTTTATGATAAAGGCATTGCTTTCTGAAACCCACTGCTAAATCAATATCTGAATTATTCTTTGAACATTGTGCATGCAAATAATCTTGGCTACACAAAATGCAAAAACAAACATAGCTGCTTGTGTGATTGTAAAAAAAATAAAAATATATTTGTTATGATTATTATTTAATTAGGAGATAAACAAACGTTATATGACGTTATATGACAAAACAGAATAATTATCTGTCAACAAAAATACCCTGGTAGAATTTTATACAATTATAAGGAATCGAAAACATATTCAGCATAAACATTTATGCTTTCAAACTAGCTTTGATAATTTAGGAGCATCACGCTTTTGCCATTATTATTTAACCTGTTCTCACTCTTCTTGCCTTCGTACATCTATATGATGATACTTTGCTAAATCAGAATCTTGCAAAAAATGGTTTGTTTTTATCACAACATACAGAGAGTCCAGTTAAAGTGAAGGATTGTATTGTGCATGTCTAAATCAAGTATTATTTTAATGGTATTGTTGCCCAAACCTAATTTAAATTTTCTCATGTCTGCTTACATTTTTGAATTACTGTAAGTATTTACTCTTAAGTCTTGTGGTTGTTTGCACTCTTACAACAATGCAGTAATGGGTTCTGGTTAATTGTTTTTAAATAGGAGTGCTGCAGACGAGGGCAATGCCAATGTAATATCACGTTTTAGTGAGTAAAATCAATTCAGATTCTAAAATGGGCACAAACTTGGATACGGTTGCAGCAGAATTAAAAAATATGGCCGTTTTAATCTTTCAATATAAAACAAAATGCAGCAAAATATTGTTCTATGAAAAGCATGAAATATAGAAACCAGTTTGCTTCCCATTACAAAGTGTTTGATTTCTGAACCAGTCTCTCTGTTCTATACACTAGAGTTTTAATTCAGAACTAGGAGAATTAAGACTTTGTGCATTCTGGAGTGTGTGCCATTTTAATTATTGATTAATAGGCATTATTAAATTCTAATCACACTTCGTATTTCATTAACACAAAATGTCAAAAGTGGTTATCATATAAGGGTTAATATTTGAATGCAGTTATTAAACATCTCTCCGTAATATAATAAAGTTTACGAGAGGCATACAATTATTTTATCATTCTGGTTCATTAATCAAGTGGAATTTTTATTGCAATAGCATTAAGGGGACCAGGTTAGACATATTAAATTTTTATATCTGCAAGGATTGTATCATTTTCCTTATACTTAGAAAGCAAATATAAAAAAAAAAATTAGATGAATTGCAAAAAAATATATATTCATAATGTAATGTTCTCAAATGCAAATCTCTGTAGTGTTAGAACAGTAATTAACTGATTTTAAAATATTTGACTTTGTTTTTTCAAACACATCATTGCTTGATTAATGAACAGAATTATGTCATGGATAATTAAAATAGAAACATTACAGTATTATTTCAACCAGAGACAGTGACCTTTGGTACCACATAACATCTACTCAGTCCCAAATTCTCATGAACTTGCTAAATTTCCTAAATATCCAATTGGACACCCTCCTCCGACACCATTCTCCGATTCAGCCAAGGTGGATATTTATCCTGACTCAGCCTACTTTGGCTTGCATTTTCCATGTTAATTCCCAACACTCCAGAATCCCTATCATTTTCTTTCATATACCCCTTACCTTAGCCTAGTTTTGCTCAGACTAAAAACGTATTTTTAAAACTAAAAAATCATCAACACAAAAGAAAAACAATATGATTGACTAAATTATTTCCATGTATGTTTACAGGGAAAACCCAAGAAAACTTTAGAATTTTAATCAAACTATGAAAGCAGAAAGCATTTAAAGAATTGCAATTTTTTTACACAATATGTTTTCAACAGTCTATTAACATGTGTTAACAATAAAACATATATGTACTGTAAGTAACACCTTAACATACCACCAATGTCCCATTATAACTTTGTTTTCATATGGTACTTTATACGTTACTTAACTCTAGACAAATCTTAAAGGTATAACAACTGTTCGTTAAACAGAAAAACAGACTATAGAAGTCTTATGAAATATTCCTTTTAAAATATTTTTTTCAAATATTCACTAATATTCCTTGCAAATAAACTTGAATGAATCCTACAATTCTAGAGATTTAATTAGAAATTGTTGACATTAATTACTAAAGATCACTATTTAAGAGTAACGATTAATACAATTTAAATTTAATTTAAGCTATTTGGATTGATGGACACCCTTGCCTAGTTTCAGTTTAAGATATGCAACAATGAACAGGGTGTATTTCAAATCAGAAAAGTGTCTCTTCTTTAAATTACTGCATGCATTGCATAAAACAAACTTACCTTATTGTGACTGATGTTAATTTGTAAGTACAATTAAATGACAAATTCCGGATACAAGGCAAAGAAGGACACTTGTGACTGCACAATAATGTTTAGACATGAAATAGTAATTTATGCTACGTAGGATAATGTTTGGTGTGCTATTTTAATATATTTTGGCACTTGCTCACCACCACACCAAAATATTAACTCTCTGCCCCCCTCTGCCATGTTAAGGTCCTCCAACTCCCAGAATTCTTTGAATGTGATAGATGATAATATTATGATGGGTGTTCTAGTTCCATAACATTGGGTGAGGGGAGGAGGACAAAATTTAAGATGCCTGCCTGAAAACATGTCTGGGATAAGTTTTCTTTTCACATATTATATTTTAAATTTTTAAACAAAACGTGTCTAGTGATTTGCATAAAACATTTAGTTTTAACCCCTTCATGACTGAATTTGTAGCTGGTCTGACATGGTAACATAAGCTTTGCCTAACTCTTTGCCCTGAAGGGATTAAAAAAAAATAAAAACATTTTATTTGGCATTTCAAAGTGTTTTAACCATAACAAGTATCTAAATGCTTTCTTTTTGCTTTTGCATGCGGTCACAAGTATCTGGACGGAGGAAAATAGCTTTTCACAAGTACATAAATAGGTCAAATGCTTACAGTTGCCTATACAAATTGGAAACCATCTGTGTTTTTCTCTTCTGTCATATCTACTGCAACAGCTGCTTTAGATATCTAGGCATCTAAATTCATTTGACACCAAAATAACACTGTAACACTGGTGGCTTGTTGCCATCTTACCTGTGGCTGTTTATGATAGGGCCCTCACAAATGTTTAGGACAGAATTAAGAGCTAAGCACATTCCACTGAGGTTTAGTCTATAACTTTTTTTTTCTTGCGCAATTCATTTCCGGTCCCTATAGCACTATAGTTCGTTAAGTACTTCACCTTAACTACTAAATGTTTCTTGAACATTTATGTTATTGTTCTCCTCTTAAAAATTATATGTTAGTAAATATGTATGACTTAACCCTTTCAATAATTTTTATTTTTTTTGAGGAATTCAATATTGAAACATTGCAAGAATCGTCTATAAATTAATTCTACTCACCAAATTTTTCAGTTTTCTTGATAAAAAAAAATATCTGCCACTTGAATAACCGTCAAATGTCTCGATGGCCTGTCTTGCTGTCTTGCGGAGTGAATACTTGAAATCTTAATTTAAATAAATTGAATTTTAAATTAGCACAACATTTTTTGAAACATTGTTCAGCATTAAATACAGCAGAGGTAGCAGAGATTTGGGGAAACATAATTAATACTTTCAAGTTCCCTGTCCTAGTCTTTAGGTCTCTGTGCTTTCGCAAGAGTTTGGGTTAGCAGGTTATGTTTTAAAATTAGAAATTCAAAAAATAAAATAATTACTGATGCTGTATTCACTGAACATGTCCGATAAAAAAAAAATTAAAAATGTGTATTGTGTACCTCATTTAAAAAAAAAAAAAAGAGTATATATTTTTTAAAGCAATGTCTAGATGGCTTAGATTATATAAGCACTAAGGTAAAGCACTCACAAAAAAAAAAAAAATCTCGATTTTGCTTTTTTTACATTTCGTTCTTAAGAGTGTTCATTTAATAAACAACGCTGCATATGCTAACACAGTTAATGCTTGTTCTCTTTTAAATCTTCTGCAGAGGATTACTTCACTGTCCATTGCAAAAATTATAATGGTGTGATGAGGGTGATGCAACAGAAAGTAAGCTAGTTTGTCAGTAGTTGTGCAGTTACAAGATGGTAGACTGCAGTTCCAGAACAGACTTTGGGACTTGTTTGGGGCTGGTTTATTTCTTTTTTATATTTGCTATAATTAATATAAGACCTATCATTTGTGTGTAACTTTGCTAAATTCTTAATAAATGAATAAATAAATACAATGGTTTAGCCACTAAGACATCTATAACAAAATACATAAAAAAAAAAAACAAACAACACAACCCCCTGCCCCCACCCAAAAAAACCTAAACAAAACCCCCAAACATGGAGAACTCTTTCATTTAACTCTTTTTTTTTTATAATTTTTATAAGTATTTAAAATAAAGGCTTGCATGTATTATAGCTTCTTGGTGAATTATTGTATAATGCATACATATAATTAAGCACCTTATTTCAGT